GTGCGATGTTTACGAACGATAGCGTACGTATAGAACGTTTGGAATTTCGCGCGAGACAGCGTGCAAAGGGCAGAAATCGGACGGACGGTCGACGCAATATTCGTCGTTCGGTGAGAGCCGTTTGAAATCCGGCAAGCAACGTTTCAGCGCAGCGAGCTGGATATCCCCGAGAGCGGCAATATTAAGAAAGACAAGGTTGCCGCGAGATGACACAGAAAACGTTGCTTCTTCGCCAAGGTAACCGTGTAACGCGACACACATAATGAAACACACGGCAACGATAGTGTGCACTAGCTGGCGAAACAGAAAACGGCCCGATATTACGTTGCACAAACACGAGCAAGCCCGATATCATCCCTCTCTGCGCGTTGCACCAGCGTTTTCCACCGCAAGCTCGTTACCGGTTCTCCAGGTTTTCTGACTGCTTCTTTTTACGTAGCAGCTACCTAGCCGGTTGGCTTTCTTCCTGCTCGGCTGTTTCTCGTTTTTCCTCTTCTCCTTTTGCCACGTTCGCGCTGGATATGCCATTACCGCGCCACCCAGCCGAGCATTCGTCGCAGCAACCAACGATCCTGAGAATCGTCAGCGGAATCGCGACGCGTGTCCCCACCTACGAAACGTACGATGGAATTTAGAGAACGAGATTGTACGATGTTTCGCGGTTTAGTTTTCCACTCGGTTGAAGATAGTTTGCGTTTTAGGAGACAACACGAACGATCAACTGTGGAGAATAATAACGTTAGGATAAAGCAGATTTGATGGAGTCTGGCAAACTGCAATATATTAGCGTAAGATCTTCGCTATAATTAGTTTATTTACAATAAACGGATTAAACAGATGTTGGTTAAACAGGAAACGATGATTGTTTAACGCGAACTAATCACAATAACGTATTATAATTAAGACAACTAGATAGTTAATTTGCAACTCGCGTCAACACGGATCCAACGCTCTCTCTTACGCGGACCACATTCTCTCGAGAAAGCTAGCAACGCTATCTCCCTGACTTCACGATTCACACTCTCTGGCTTCTCAACTCGCACTCTCCGACTTCTCAACTCACACTGACTGTTAATTCGTCTTTCTCCCTTAGCGCCCCTTTGTCTTTTATCTTAGCCCCACCACGCACGTGTTCCGCAACCGCTCGTGGCCAGAGTCACGCAAACCTTTCCCACGAAACTATTCGATCGAAGGATCGACGTTACATCGTTGGGCCAGTCGGCACTTCGGCTTTCTCGCGACATTGTTTATAGTTCGCCCGATATCTCTTAGGTCTTTCGTCCACGATACTACATTAGGTTGTCCGGAAAGTGTCTTTCTTTTACAGACGCGTCTTTTACAATACAAACAATACAAATTTTAATAAAAACACGAAACCTAATCTGTCGAACGTCGTAATCTTTATGGAACGTCGTAATCTTTATGTTGATAGAACAAAATGGATCATACGTAATTCGATAAAATAATATAAAACGGAACATGTTGTGCACCATTATTTCCTTATAAAACGAAAGAAGCTTTTCGTATGACCTAATATCTTTTAATTCAACTTTGCACACCGAGTTGTCAAAGTTGTAGGTGGCTACATCATTAGTCCGTAAAATCAGAATAAAACTCGATTTATCTGAATTTGTCGACGGGCAAGTAATTTATGTAATTGGAGTTCGTTTAATAGGAGATCACCGATTTTCCTCGTTACCCATTATTTTTCCTTCGTATAATAGGGACTCGCGTTCAGACAAGTGAATCGAGCCGGCAGAAGTTCGGCTGATCGAACATTAACTGGAATTTCGTTCGAATAAATGGAGTCCAGATGAACGTGGTTCTACCGTAATAACGAACGAATTGAAAAATATTGTGCACTTTAGATCTAACGAGATTAGGGAGTGCAAGTAAAGCCTAGGAATTGGAAAATGCTATTGTCCATTTTAGGTCCAACCACTATGGGGAACAGCGAGTAATTCCAACATAGAAATTCTTCGACGATTCCAATCAAAAACTCTAAGATCCTTGATAGATGCACCTTAGTATGTTACCAACGAAACGATATATCGCGACCTTAAGATACCTACAGTTAAAGAAAAAATATCCAAATTCGGTAATAGATATAACATAAGAACTAACTATTGGGCTTATATAGGCTATAGGCTTACTATAGGCCGTGTTCCTAACCGTCTTCCTTGGTACTATAGTGTCGCAGACAGATCGTCTTACATGACCGTCGAGATATACACAAAATAGCGATAAACGCATAGTTGTCGTCAAGCAGCGAGTTCTAGAAACATCGATTCGCCTTCGGTCCGTTATTTTACACAAAGAAGAGGTGGCATACGTGATCATAGGCGCGAACGGTTGCGAGAACCGAGCGTGGTGGGGGTCGTCTCCCAGAGAAGGACAAAACCGAAGGGCAGTCAGTGGCAAATGAGGATTCAAACGGAGTGTATCGAGAGATTCGGACGAATAAAATCCAAAACAAACTAATTGTATCATCGTTAAATCATTTGTGACGTGTTCATTATAATTTTAAATATTGTTGAAAATAGAAGCTTATATTAACCCGGTTAATTCAGTGTTACAATCATTTGAACTATCTCTGTTATCTTAATCGAAACAGGGGAACGACTGATTCGCGGCGTCGATTATCAGAATTGTAGCAAGAATTTACGTCTCTCGCTGACGCGTTTTCCTCGCGATCGCGTTTCTTCGCGAATGTTCGTAACACCACTAGTTATTCAATTAATTGATACGACCGATTAGATCCGCAGGTTAAAAAGACATTACCCTTTAGATTTAAACGTTAGATTCAGCTGGAACCAAACGTACGATAATCATTTATTATTCACGTTATAGTACCACGCTAGAATAATTTAATTATAATTCTCAATGAAAATTGATTGTAAGCTACTTCCAAATAAAAAGAAAAAGGTCCAACCGGAGAAAATATCAAGAACTGTCGTAGAAACAAAGTGATATGTACACGCCAGTGAATTACGATAATAACAAGTTAACAACGTTGAACGAATTTCTTATTTTCTTACGAGTCCATCTATGCTGATAGAAGAGTATTACGAAAATTGAATCAGAAAATAAGTTTCAACGAACGTGTAATTCATTCGTTTCCAGTTGCACTTGTTTCTCCCTAAGGAAAACAGAAGTCCGCCACAAGGAACCATAAAGGAAACCAATCTCCGCTCCCAGGCGAAGACTGTATACGTAAGAGAAAACGAAAGATGAAAAAAATGTTCTATGTTCTGGTACATCATCTTCCGTATATTGCGTAACCACAACGCAACAATTTTCTTTTTCGATGTCCCTCCTATCAGCTTTGCATTTTCTGTCTTACACGACCAACTCTCGTCTTCAATTTTCTGCAAATTCAATTTATTCCGTCGCGAAAAATAATTTCCTACTTGCCCGGACAAGACGAGTTTCGATTACGAATAATCAAAATGAAAATAAAAATAGATGGAGGCGAAGATAAATTATCGAGCTGTTTTTTAACTTCGGTATGCGTGTCAAAAATTTCGATTCGATTCGTTTAATCATTTAACGAAAGCAACGGAGTTTCACCTGCTATTTATTTATTATTTATTATTCATAATTCGAAGCTTCCGCTCGTCGATAAAAATTCATTACTCGTTGCGTTGTTCGAAAACAACGAAAATATCAAACCTAAGAGGAAATCGATATTTCAGAGAACGCGTGAAAAATGTTATATCGCGCATTGTCCGGTCTTATTATTGAAATGAATCTAAAAATTGTGAAACCAATAAAACTGCAAATAATCGATCGCTACTTCCAAAGTTTCATCGTCACTGAAATTTCAAACTTAGAAAGCTTCGTCGTCGTAAAAATTCTTTGGTATTCGTTATGATCCATCGACGCGTTTCGTTACGTTCAAAGAATTCTGAAAATAACTGTAAATTTGAGATCGAATTAAATTAGAAAATGGATACGACGAGAGACAACGAGAAATTGACATATTCGTATCTTCATTTTTATTCGAAATTGAACCTCGCCAGTTGCTATAACTATATCGTTGCAATCTTTGTGGCCCGATTAACCGCAAGTTACAACGAATTTTCATGCAGACGATTATTTATGGACGCTACGTGATACCATATTTGCGGTACGATGAATCACGAGCGTAGAACCACCCTCGTAAAATTTGTCACAGTTTCGCAGGATAAAGTAATACGTAATAAATTGGAGTACAATAATGGACAACGATCTTATTAAACTGCAATAATGAACCAAAATTCGAGCAGCGTTCCCCATCGATCATCAGACGTTTTAGTTGAATGTGTTGCGAACTCTGTTCACCCAACTTTCTCAGCTGACTGATATAATGGATTACGTGATAAAAGAGGGAACGTATGGAATATAGGTAATTCAAAAATTTATCAAAATATTCTCGATCTTGCGAGTTGATCGTCGAACGATATAAAAATCGATATAAAAATGTAAATCGTCTTTTAAACCACTAAATGAGAGGGGAACGAAAAAAATTAAAAAGTATATGGTATAGAGAAGTCAGAGGAACGTGATACGCTAAAATGTAACGTATAGCGAAAAGCAATTGAATCAAGATATTTCTAAAAAAACTAAAATATTAATAAAATACAAAGACCTTAAAATATGAAAATTGAAATGCCGAGAGTATCAGCGAAATTGCTGAGATATCACATCCAAAAATAAGAAAATAATAGCGACGCAATACATCAACGTCAGGCGCTACGTGTCTTTCAAACAACGACGAATTACTTTGTTCTAAAAACGTGCGGAGAAACGAAATTAGAAATATCGTGGAAGATTCTAAAGGAGATATAGTGCGGAAAACACGCGGTTTTGACTTTCTCAAAAGAGAAAAGTTTCGTTCATTTTTCGCATACCTACGTTCCTTGCAAGTGTATTCAGCGTCGACGATATTTCTCCCCACCCCTCTTTCTCTGCTGTTCCTAATTAACCAAAGAATAATCCGGCTCGTACCTTGTTCACAGTTTTGGGCTGCTTACGTGCCGTGCGAGTCGCAGCATCTCAACGCGGTCCAGCTGACTCTGGAGCAGGTGGACCTCATTAAGAGGCTCATAGAGAAGTACTCGCAACACATGCAGTTCGCTGCATCTTCAACGGGTTAGTATCTTTCACGATTATCCGAAACAGCCACAAATCTGAACTCCACCGCTTCCTGGCTACCCTCTGTTTCTTAAACAGACGAATCGTTAAAAAGAAAGAAAAATATAATAGGCGTGATAAGCGTGATAAACTAAAGAAAAAAACGAAATAGCAAAGATAAGTGGCTACGATGATTAGCAAGAAAGATTTGTCTTTACACTTGGTCTCTCATTATGTTTTTTTTTTATTATTATTTAATTTATACTTTACAATTTGTCCAGCTGGACATACACTATGTTAAATAGGTGTTTTTCTTTGCTTTCTTCAAAAGAGGATATAACAAACTCGATGAGTTAACACTTAGCCAACGGAGCGCGTTTCCACCGCGCATTTTTCCAAGTTCATCGAGGACTGATATTCACTGCTTAAGAAACAAAGAAATCTAAAAATTACTTAAGCGGTCAATTATGATTTTATTTAACGATTTCAGATATTGTTTATACAAAACATCAAATTGAAAGTATAACAAAATATAGGTAAAATTAAAAACATTGAAGGTGACTAAAGATAAATAACACGATTTGAACGTGAAATGAAAAATTCATAATGCATTCTAATATTTTTTTACAGTGTGGTATCGTTCGATTGTAACTTTATTTTTAGTCATAATTGACAGTGTAACTTTTTAATTAATTTTAACACCACTAGATTGGTGTACTTTATTATATACTGTACTTTATAAAAGCAGAAAAGTTGGCGCAATTAATTGGGAACAGTTCCAGGTAAACATAACTGATAATAACAACAAACAAGAAAAGAAAACGCGTTTCTAAAGTGAAAAAGGGAGATCTCCCCTCTGCGAAGAACATCGTTGCGTGACCAAACGGGGAGAGCTCCCTATTCGGTTGGCACCGAACACTTAACAGTTGATTAACAGTCTAAGTTAACACTTAGAAGGGACAAGACCGAGGAAATAAACAATTCAAAAGATTAAGAAACGTTTGCCCGGTACATAACTCAATATTATGTCTACAAACGAGATTGTACAGATGATACTGACTTAATTTTCAGAGATTCTGGATGCTCACGAAAGAGGCAGGATAGCTTCATTGATTGGGGTGGAAGGTGGACATAGCCTAGGAAGCAGTTTAGCTGTTTTAAGAACACTGTATCAATTGGGTGTACGGTATCTCACACTCACGCACACTTGTAACACACCGTGGGCGAAAAGTTCGTCGGTAGAAGACGAAGAGGAGGATGGTGAGTAATATAGATGAACTGTGAATATTTAAGTAAATTTACCTTTCTACGAACGTAATTAAAAAAAAAAAAAAAAAAAAGCGAGAAATAAACAGAAATTAGCTTTATCCAATAAATGTTATTACGAGTGTGTTTGGGGTGTTTTATATATTTCTTGAAATTTCTTATAAATATATAACAATCTAGATACAAAAATATTTGCAATGGAATTTTATTTTGTGTTGAGATTGACTGGTAGAATATAACTTAACTGGTAAGAACACATAGAAAATACGGTTAAAGGCAATATGATTTGCAAGTGATTTTACTGCTAGCGATGAACGAATGTCGAATAATTAATAAAGTACAATATGGTGAATTTAATTTGTCGACGTTGACTGCTAAAGGAAAGAGTGGATGCATTTGTAATAGAAAAATATATTGAAATAAGTATAGGTATAAGTACAGGTATATTGTATGCTGATCCAGATCCTCATTCTTTCAGTGTTACAATACAATAGAAGAAGGATGATAGAGAGCACGTTCATATATTTATGGCAAAGGACATTAACAAAAAGTTAACTTTGCTGTGTAGCTCTAGCCGAAGGATACAAGAAACAGCGATAGAAATCTACCTATAGCTCTTTTGTTTGTAGACCTTGCAACCCAAAACAAAGCTTATATTCAAGGACACAGTAATATGCACCTCTCTTTATTTCAAGTTTTTTCACTGAATTCTATTCTCTTCGTAACAGCGTGTTCTCCGAGTCACGGATATACAAAAGAAAAGGTGTAGAGCTTTTCTCGAAGTAATTACTTCAACATTTTTCACACTGAAATGACAATGAAATTAAAAATATTCGATATCGCGACTATCGCGTACATATCCAATGAAACATAGTATATTATGTAATCTTTATTGTACTCGTTACTATATTATCATATTATATTATATAAGCTATAAAAAGATATAGTAATAGCATAACACGATCGGAAAATGAAAAATTCCAAGTTTCGTTGTATCAGGGAGATAAATGTTTCGACGGTAAGTAAAGAGAGGGAGAAAGCTAAGTTCTCGTTTGTTTTAGGAGGCGGTCTAACGGCGTTCGGGAAAACAGTAGTTCAGGAAATGAATAGGCTGGGAATGCTGATAGACCTTAGTCATACAGCGAGGGCAACCATGAGGGACGCTTTAAGAGCCAGCAAAGCACCCGTCATTTTTTCTCACTCCTCGGCCTTCGCTATTTGTAATTCCTCGAGGAACGTTCCCGACGACATTTTAAGGCAGCTGGTAAGCAAAAGCCACGTTATTCGACTGTTTTCCCGTTTAATTAAATTTAAATTAAGATAAAAATTTCGCTGAAAAAGATTAATATATCGGAACGAGTAAGAAAATAAATCTAATTATATTCAAATTATTAAAATTACCGATCCTCCCTCGGAAAGACACATTTTCAGGAGCAGAACGAAAATTAAATTCAAGTTTCATAAAGGAAAGATACGCAAGAGCTTTGGTATTAAATAAGAAGAAAAGGCAGCCGACAAATAATAAAAATTCTGAAAATTTTCTAAAAGATATTTCGAACTGAATTATCATCTTCGTTGTTGGAGAAAAAATAGAGACATACGTATACAGTGCAGTGAATAATTATAAACTCAAACCTTATTTTCACATTTGTCATGACATTGGAAGAAACATCGACGAAATTGTCTGTATAATTTCATGTTACAATACAAAACAAAACTGACGATGCAACAAACAAAAATTATCTTCTTTCGAAGTCTGAAAAATATTACAATTTTCTCTTAAAATTGTGTATTCCACTGCAAAAAAGATATAAAGTCAATGTTACACGTAGATTTCGTTAAATGTTTTGTGTATTTTCCTTTACTTCTTGTTGCTTCTATTAATCTGTTAGATATACTATCCACTAACTTACTCTTAAAGTTTCGTTTTGAATATCCCCTACGGATTTCATTCTTTATTCAAGTTCAACCATATTTTCTATAGGTGACTTCTCCTCGTAAACTTTTCTTCGTAGAATTCCCCGCAGGTCTCGATCGGGTTCAGATGAGGACTCGACGCTAGCCATGATAATAATTCTGTTGGAAATCCTGGAACCACGAAATCCTGGAACCACGGCTTCCTTCCTAACACCGGCTATACGAATAGCAACATTGTCTTGTTGAAAAACTGGCTTTCTGTCTTCTATTTCATTTACGAGGGACGATAATTCTCCGTGTAACGGAGGTAATCAGGAGCTGACATCCTACAGCGTTCGATTTATCCCTTACAAAAGCAATTTCGCTTGTCCAGACATGAACAGTGATTTCTTGGAAATAAGATTAATAATCACTAATAAGAATAATAATCGAATAAAATAACGTGGTGGACGGTGTGACGTGTTGTTGGTTAAATCAATAATCGGACGAGTTAATTTAATCAACTATATTTACAGATATTTTAAAGTGTAGGATACAAAGTTAATCGCAAGCGTTGTTCACTTGATGATACTCGTTATAAGATTGATTCGTTATACTAGTTCGCTCGACTGACTGACTTACTGACTCGATATTGATATTCATTCGCACTACTACTGACTAGTGGAGAACTTTTTTTTTTACTTGGTAGACTTTTTACAATCAATTGAGAATTATAAGTAAATTATTTTGGCGTGGTACTGTAACTTGGATTATAAGAGTTTATAGTATGTTTGATTCTAGTTGAATCTAATGCTTAAATCTGAAGGGTATTGTCTTTTTAGTCTGATCCGTCGTGTCAAGTAATTGAGTAACTAGTGGGTTTTGGTGGTTGTTAACTCTTGTATTATATCTGTTACTAAATTTGGATATTTCTTCTTTAACTGTGGCTATCTTAAGGTCGCTGTGTATTGTTTCATTGGTAACATACCAAGGTGCATCTATTAAGGATCTTAGAGCTTTTGATTGGAATCCTTGGAGAATTTCTATGTTGAAATTACTCGCTGTTCCCCATAGTTGGATCCCATAGGTCCAAATAGGTTTTAATATGGCTTTATGTAGCATTATTCGTGGAGAACTTGGTCGTCTATTTATACTGGTCGAGAAGGGGGACCGAAAGCTTTGTCCAGAGTTTGTCTATTACATTATGTGCGTCGTGTAGTGTTAATCCTCTGTAGCAGAACAACTATGTGAAGCATCTGCGTATCGCGACGTCCTAAGACGCATATGCCGCTATACATCCTAAGACGCATATGTCTCTACAATAACATAAGAAAATATGTTTGAGTTTATAATTATTCGTAGCGCTGTGCATAGTGAAAAAATATTCTCTGCTATACGATAGCTTGTAAAACGTTTGTCAAATAAAAGTCCTGTTCGAGGATCTGTTAACGATCTACGTAGATTTGTTGCGAAATAAGTTTCGTCGAATTGAAAAGAAAAGTGACGGTTTTTGCGCTTTCTCTCGCACCAGATCGTTCTTCTTCCTCTCCACAGGATGGACGATTATCTGTGCAGCTGGTCTCCCAGTGACACGAAACATTTACCACCGGCTATTCGTTTCTATTGTCGGGTTTTCTGCTCCATTATAGGAAACCTCTTCGCGTTCCCTCGTTAAACGACAAATTAGTAGGGCGAGAAATTAACGGATTTATCTGTTCCCCTGTTCCTCGTTGGCTTCGTATCTTTCCACAAACCGCAATTTTCTTCCTCGAATCCCCTCGAGTGGCAGATTTTTCCTCGTCTCGCTAGAATTCTACGCTGCGTTTCGTAACTGTAAAACCACCCGAAAGAACTTTTAATTCTTACGTATACATCATCAACTTGATAACTACGCCGTGTTTGACATTTTTTTCATGTTTGACATGTTTTTGCGCAGATACACGCGGAATCAGCGTAGGAGAATGCTTCATTTTACAAAAATTGAACCCTGAATACAGCAAGATGGAATTGTAACACAATTTTTATAAATTTAACTGTTACATTCTGCGTATTTCTAATCGGATTTCGTTGCCTCGTACTTTGTAACTCGTACTTGGAAAAGAATAGAAAATTTGATTTTATAGTCGTAAAACACACACCTATACACGTTCTTGAGACATAACATACATAGGTACATAGATGTATTTTATCGATATTAAACAGACTAATAGACACAGTATATGTTCGATATAAAATGAGAATAATATATAATAATCGTAATAATAATAACAATAATACAATGGAAATCAAGTAAAAGTTATTTTACGATAATTGAGATGAATTTTTAAAATATTCCAAAAAATTACACAGTGAACATTATTAAGCGATATTTTGACATAGAAACCTGTATAAACGCATTGTTTTAGCTTGACGAGAGAGTTATCTCGTTACGAAGCTTGAAACTGTCCGAGATCGGCATTTCACAAGTGCTCTTCCGTTACTCGATGGTTACAAAAGATCTTCGGTTCTCTTATAAAGCCAGTAATATCCTATGCAATTCTCTGATCAAAGGGAATAAGCATTACATAGCTAAATCTGTAAGAAAATATCAGAGAAGAACAATTTACGATTTATTCAAGTCGTCGATCGTTATAACGTTTCTGAATCGTGGAAAGAAATTTTAGAAAAGAATCCAATATAGAATCTGTTAAAAGTTCGACTTTATTACATTTACTTTAACGATGTTAAACCGTCGATAAATTCTTTCCTCTCGAATAAAACAACGTTCATTCGTTATCTATTCGAAAATAAGAAAGATCTTCGGCGGAGGTGTAGTTGGAGGAGATAGGTGAAAAGAAGAGTTTGCGTTTCGTCCCGGGACTACCGGTGGACTCGTCAGTAAGGCTATGCCCGGTAGTCCCTACCTTAGACGTAAAGGGAGTCTCGCTAGATGCAGTATTTGTATCGTGCTCCAGTATATTCGACCGCTAGCGAGATAGACAGACTCGTTGTCGTCGTAGTAGCCCTCTGGTGTTGACGGTTGGTACCCGCGGATCGCCCGGGAGGTGTTGCGCCGCGTTGATGCCTCGACCTGTCGGCGTCCTATTGATACCGATCCGCCACAGATCGTTCTTTAAAATAAGATTCGTAACATTCTGGACCAACATTTAGGTTCGTTTGCGACAGGTTTCTACGGTACAGTACAGTTGTCCAAAAGAGGAAACACAGGTACGTACGATGCAGACGAAATGCGGTTACGCGAGAACATTGCGGTAGATTTGATCGAGGAAGGCGTGACGATAGTTGCGGTCAGAATTTGCGGTCAATACAAGGCACGACCAAGATTTCAGACTTCGAGCGGAATAATCGAACTTTTCGTCGATCCGAAAGCTAGCGTGTTCCTTATTTATTTCAGGTGAAAGGTTCCAGTCGCCAATCTTCAAATTTTCAAGTTTTCGATTTTCCAAGTTTTCGAGTCACCGAAGACTGAAAAATTCATCGAACGCGTCGAATCTTTAGGTTTCTAAGTTTTCAAACGCTCGAATCTTCGGACATTTAAATTTGTAAACATCCAGCCATCTAAATTTGCTTAAAATTCAAACTTTCGAACGTTCAGGTATCCAGATTTCCAAACACTCGAGTTTCCAAATTTTTTAATCTTGCGAACCTTGAACACGCGATCCTTCGAACTTTTCAATTTCCAAATTCCATCGTATCCCAAAAATTTTGCCTGCTATTGTGCCTGATACCATCCAGCCATTTTAAATTTTTGGATAAAGATACACGAAAGTATGAGATTTAAAGCTCGGATAAGTTTTTTTTATAAGAAGCACGATCGAAACTTCGAGCGACTTTATCGAACGATGCAACATATAATGGAATTTCATTTGTAGGCTGCTAACGGTGGATTGGTGATGGTGACGTTTTATAATTACTTCGTGAAATGTGGCTCTCAGGCGACCGTCTCCGACGTTGCCGAGCACATTTACTACATTAAAAACCTAATTGGTGTGGACCACATCGGTGTCGGTGGCGACTTCGATGGTATCAACAAGTAGGTACATTTTTTTCTTTAACACGTTCTATCGCGCAAATCCATATACATATGCACGATAGAATACACAATCGCAAATAAATAAACCTTTCGAAACTTTCCAATTTCTGCAGTTGTTACTCAGAACTTTTACGTATTAGCCGTGTTCGATGGTAATAACGTTTCCTAAAATAGTACAAACATGTTAGATATATAACACGTAGAAGCCTCAGATGGTAACAAACGAATAATTGTCATTAAATATACGATGTATACAATTTCTGCAGTTGTTACTTGGAACTTTTACGTTTTTAATTGTATTGCGGTTATACAGGGTGGTTGGTATTAGCTGTATTCGATGATAATAACGTTTCCTAAAATAGTACATACATGTTAGATATATAACACGTAGAAGCCTCAGATGGTAACAAACGAATAATTGTCATTAAATATACGATGTATACAATTTATATACAGGGTGGTTGGTAACTGGTGGTACAAGCGGAAAGAATTCTACGCGAAAAAAGAAGTTGAAAATGTAGAATAAAAATTTTTTTTTAATTTTTCCATCGAGACAACGATCTACAGTGAGATCCGTTATAACGTACCGCACGCGTACCGAACGAAAATTCAAAGTCGATTTTCTCGAAAACAAAGCCTCAAACGAAAAATTTTTATTCTACATTTTCGGCTTCTTTTTTCACGTAGAATCACCCCCTTTCCGCTTGTACCACCAGTTACCAACCACCCTGTATATAAATTGTATACATCGTATATTTAATGACAATTATTCGTTTGTTACCATCTGAGGCTTCTACGTGTTATATATCTAACATGTATGTACTATTTTAGGAAACGTTATTATCATCGAATACAGCTAATACCAACCACCCTGTATAACCGCAATACAATTAAACATGTATGTAAATCAAAAGATCGTTTATATCGTCAAATATGATTCATTCCCGACGTATATATCTGTCTAGAAAAACTCATAAAAAGTCCTACGGTATTTTTCTGCTTGCCTGGAAAAAGATAAACACGAAGAAAAGTCGTCTTCGTTATAAGCAACCGGTGGATCTTTACGGATGTAAATATGCAAAAATGCACAGAATGTTCGTAACACGCAAATGTACGTAGAATACTCAGAGTCTAGCACCTGGCATAGCTCGGTAGGTGAGACGAGTTTCTCCTTACGTTCTGTTCCATTATTTTGCCTTTACAAAAATACGAATCTTTCGTAAAAAAAGTCTAAAGAGAAAACACCTCACTGAAACACCACACATTAAAGAAATAAAATATACAAACTCGAAGATGGTATCTCGCTGGGGGTAGCCATCCACATGCTATTTAGCAATAAAGCTAGACGAATTTACCGAATGTCCAGCTAGACAAATTGTAAAGTACAAATTGAATAATAAAAAAAAAGAAAAAAAAACGAATCTGCACAAATATCCGCGGTCCGGTTATGAGCCATTTCTACGAATGGACATCGAAGTCGGTGTAATATCCGAATAGGAAACATCGTGAATCGTGGGTCGAATTTGATATTCCATAAGTTTAATCAAGAGAGTACGCACGGCTGTAATTAAGCTTTTCGATGCGGCGACGTTGGTCGAAAAGATTTATAGTCACAAGGGTGCGGCGGCGTAAACCTTCCTGTGAACACATTTACCGGCTCGTGTCGGGTAATTCATCGTGTTTGTGCAAGTTATCGTAAACCGATGAACGGAGAATTAATGGCACTGTAAATCTAATTACAAGACCATAGACTTTCCGTTTTTCCTTTCGATATTCTGTTACACGATGGATGCTTGGTGGTCCGTTACAATGGGTTATCGATCATCGAAAAAAGAAAAATAAAAAGAAAAAATACAGAGAGCAGGAGAATGGAGTTTGAGGTACACGTCGGAAAGAATTACGGGTTGTTTAACTCATTTGGATTCATGGTGGGAAAGATAAGCTGTAATTTAATGCGTTTGAATGTAAATCTTCGTGATTAATGTCTGTTATTACTGGATACAAACTGATAGAACGAACGTGGGACAACAGTGCTTGGACAAATGTTCCTTTTATTTATACACTGGCATCGATTTAGTAACTCTTGATGTTAATTAGAACGGAGATTATTCGCGAGGGAAGTAGAGTCGTTTGAATAATTATCTAATGGAATAGATTGTACGTATACAAACGGATATATTCAATGATCAAAGTTTCACTCTGAGGTGGAGTTGAATGTAAGTGCCCCAAGAAATGCTCTTGATGTTCAACAAAAAGGATTTATTAAACGATTAACGATCAACGATTAACAATCACGCTTCTCGAATATGTTTGCTTCGCTGTTACGCTAGACCCTTCGCACTTCGTTGTTCGAAACGGAATGAATCTCTTTCTTTCTTTTCGTCGCCCCTTCAATATCCCCACTATCCGTGCGTTTGTTTGGCATCCGCGACCGTTGCCATGCACGCCTTCTCGAACATTCGGCGAAAGGACCGTTGGGATATTGATAGCTCATTAGGTACTTCGCTTCGGCGATATACATTGTTGCCGAGTGTCGCGAAGCCATCGGAAAGTTCCGTTGTCGCGTGGCGCTGCAACTCAAAGTTTCTAAATTTTGTAAAACGAGCAGATGTATCTTATACGAATTCCTCGTCTCTTCGAATTATTAAAATCCTCGTGTATCTAATAATCCATCAAATCCATCGTTAATAACCGTAAAAAAATTACGATATAAAAATTGCCATTGCTCTCTATTCATTTTCATCGCTATAATTATTATACGTTACTTGAAATAAATTGGACATTTTGATACGCGCATTGTAAAATATGAAAAGTCGCAAAGATCAACGTTGCAACTATTCATTTCCAGTTTGATCGTAATCAAACTCGGGCACGACTTGTTACAAGGAATCGATTCTGTTGACAGGACACCCAGAGGACTGGAGGATGTCTCCAAGTATCCGGAACTGTTCGCCGAACTTCTTCGAAGTGGGAACTGGAACGTGTACGACTTAAAGAAAGTCGCCGGACTGAACCTGCTGAGAGTCCTTCAAAAGGTTGGAACGCGTTCAAATCTAAATTCGAATCTTCCTGCCAGGTTGTTACACCGCGAGCATCCCAATTGTTCCTTATACGACACGAAAATAAAAACAGTCTGTAGTCTGTTGTTTAATTCTTTGATTCTGAAAATCGAATAAATTTGAAGCAAGACGATTCTACAAGAGTTTTAATTAACTTTCGCTCAATCGATTATTAAACGAAGGACATAAACGAAATAAAGGAATTGAAAGGGGAAACAAACACTTCTCTTCTGAAAGACCATTTTCTCTAGGAAAAGATGGAAATATTTTTGTTTTACGAAAACTTAGGACAAAAGTAAAACTTTTTTATGAGAATGATATCTTGCGTAGATTTGCGATTTTTTTTAAAGAGAAAACTGCACGTACGTGTTATTCGTTTCAGGTGGAAAAAGTGAGGGACGACATGAGAACAGCCGGTATGACGCCTTCCGAAGAATACCTTCAGGATTCTCCCGACACAACCGGCAGTTGTGCGCTCGATATCAATTCCGTGCAAACGGTCATGGAGATTTGATCGTTCTATCGTGCCCTTCTATAGTTTCCGGATGGTGTGCAAATTACTTCTCCACGAGCACCCTGCCGTCCTATGCTCGACTAGACGAGCTGAGTCGCGTCGGAACCGGAGAAGCCCTAGCAGAACGAGCGATCCAAGAGAGAGAAAGAGAAAGAGAGCTTCTCATTGCTTGATTCTTGCCCGCCTACAAAATCTGTCCCTTTTTAGATGCTCAATCAGGATAACAATTGAACGAGAGAAAAAAGAAAGGATGAAGAACCTACCTCGAACGAAATACACAGCTTCGAATGTCTAATTTGCTGGGCTGTAGGTTTCTTTTGCTTGAAAGCACAAACATAGAATATTATTATTTTTCAACGAGCCTCTGCAAAACTGTTAATTCGCCATGTTTATAATTATTCGAACGATTAAGAAAATACGACGATCGTGTTTTTATCATAACATTTATTTTATTATCGTTAACGTTAAAATAATCATTAAGCATTACGAAATTCACGTTCTAAATTACCCATGTATCTGTCAACAATAATTTAAGGCTTAAGTTTTAAGTAGAGGAAAACTGATTATAAAATCGTCTGTATTTTAACATTTATAACAACCATATTTTGGTATCTCGTACATATGTTTCAGAACAGACATGTACAAGGTAACAATGCTATTTTTCATAGGAGTAATAGCAACGCATTGTAAAATTTATTATAAAAAGAAATACGTGTATTCTAATATGCAATCTTTGAATAAAGCGTAAACAGATTTTTCTCCATTTCATAGTTTTACGATACAAAAGCTGTTAATTCGAAGAATTGTGTACATCACTGGGAGAATTTAAAATTTTCATTGTCGTTCGAAGAGTTATAGAGCGCTGTGTTCTTCAAGAAAATAAGTTTTGTCGAAAATCAGGCTATATCCTACAATTTGATATTGTATACGTGCGAGTATATATACCTCCGACGTATGTTTAAAAACACCACTAAATAATTTAATGAAAAAGAATTTAGTTTCAAATCGATCAGTTACAATTAAAAAGATCATACTTCTAGATAATGTTTTTGACGTACTAGAAGTACCAAATTGCATGAAATTCTTGTAAAAAATGATTTCTGAAATGCCAAACAAAACGATCAATTATGCGTAAATCGGTACACCGAAAAAAATAAAGAGAACATATTGTGACAATATAGAAATCTTCTAAACTATGTCACTGTCGTACTGTAAAAGAAAAAAATATTATGTGTAAACCCGGCTGTGTATCTTCATATGTCTTCCCCCCTTCGTTGCACCAAAAATACGTGCACTTTAGCGTTAATAATTTGAGGAATCAAAATGAGCAAATCCATATCTGAAAGAATCACGGGTTTATTTGAAAAACATTATTATAGTCGTTGAAGTGAAAAAGGTTTCAGAAGGAAAACATATCTGTTTTAACGAAATGACGCAAAGAAAAAGCATATTCGCAAAGTGAATCTTGCTGTTAGTATTATAGAGAGGAGAATATTGTTATACAAAACAAAATGCTTTCAAAAAATAAGAGATACTTGGATAAGATAAAAATTGCTCACAAGAACTATTGTCGATAGAATTCAAACGTGTGTGAGTGTTTCTCAACGTGTTATGTCGGATGTAATCTATCACTTATACACATCCAAATTTTCCTCGACAAAAGCATCATCTAATATCTTCGACGACTCGCTGGAAGTTTCTGGGGTTTTGATAAAAATTCACCCCTGCGATTTTCATGTGTCACCATTCACCTATTTGTGTCCTGTGTGCACTTACTATGTGATTCATGCGAGTTGATTCTTCAGAAAAAATTGCTATCGGATAACAAACAGAATGAAGATAACTCGTATGGATTATACCTAACTCCTACACGAGGAGTAGGTAAGAAACTTTAGAATATCAAAAATTCCGTTGTAGCTTCGCAGCGGATTCTATAAATAAATGTTTCTATTGTATACTTGTCATTGTTCGACTATTCATTTTCCCTTATCCTTATTATACAACAGATTTCCATATCTTCAGAACATTTCACGTAAGTTGTATTTTACAAAATGTAATTGTATGAATCTAATTATAAGAGTTTTATTAGTATCAATACCTAAGTATTTTTTTAAATTATTACGTAATACACATACCTAATAATAAATAATAATGCAAGATTTTTAGGAAAATACTGTATATTTGAATGTTTCGTTTCTTAATACAAATGAAGAAGTTTTCCAATTCTACATATTTGTCCTTATCTTCTTTTTCTGCATTTTGGTTTTCAATATAAAAACAAATTATTTAATTTTGTAAGAAGCTGTTGATCTAGTTGGCGAAATTCAAAAGCACATTGATTTCGTTCAGTCTTAAGATCGATTTCGTGACATAGTAAAGATTCTAAACACAATGTAATTCTTAGTCTTCCATATGCTTCGACTTTTGTAAAATAATTTTTCGCCTTTGAAAGTGCTTTAATAGCTTTTAAGATTACTCCCTTTCGCGTCTTGTCACATGTTGGAGCAGTAGCAACTAAACATTTCGTATATAAAACAAACGCTCTACCTTGATCGTAATATCCTCCATGCGCTAAAATTTGTGTAATTGCTTCTTCTACTAAGTTTAGTGCTAAAGTTGGCATACCCATTATTAACTGGAACGTTAATAAAAGATCAATATCATACTCATAATATCTATAATATTTATAATGTAATCAATATCTTCAATATCTTTAAATTAATGAAAAAATGTATTAATTAATCTAATTACCTGAATGTTTGCAAGATGCATTTTTATTAATGCTTTATAATAAGATAAATGATTTTTTACTGCAAGTTCTAGAGCTGTATTTAGAAGTACTAAAGAATTCACTCCTACAATCCCATTCTCTGGTGAAACAGAAGCGCACATTATTTGACTTAATAAAATCATAGTTCTTATTTTATTTTGAGGCGTTAATTGCTCTTCTTTGCCAATGCTGTCGATACATTCTAAACCTTTTGGATAATCCCCTTTCTCCAAACAAACTTCCGCTAACCTAAACATTCAAATTTTTAAAGATAATACAGATCCTGCGTAATAAAACGACATATTTTAATATATCGCTATACCTAAATTTAGATTCCAAAGGATCTAAACTTGAAATATTTGACGCTATTGCTTCAGCTTCACTCCACTTTTCTTGTCTCATTAATTGTGTAAACACATAAAGTTGCTCGCTTAACTTCCATATCTATGAAACAAGTAATATTTAAACTTCGTTATATGATTCATTCGGTTACGTATAACATTAACCCTTTGCGGACGAGTGTCGGCAAATAGCCGTTCAAGTCTTTTCACTGTTGCGAACGCGTGTCGGCATATAGCCGTTCGAATCTGTTCACAGTTCCGGACAGTTACCTTGAAGTGACTGGCGTACGTCTATTTTTCTAAGCGATAATCTTATGCGTATTTACGCATGGGTATAATAAACTAAACAGTATTATATTTTTGATGAAAGAAAATTATAGATTTTTAGAAATCTTATTTTCCGTTTAACGTAAACTCGCGATGCAAGATGATGGTCGAGTCAGAACGAATTTCAATCTTTCAATGGCATTACCAAATGAATCAGAAAGCTTTCTATGTATTTTACATATTTTTTATAATACCTTATACACGATGCCTAAAAGTTCCAGAAAAAACATGTTCGATAATGATAGTAGTGATGACGAACATTAATTTGAACCTGACAAGATAGAGGACGATAACAGTGCTTCAGATACTAGAAACGAACTCCGTTCAACAATGAATCGGCTCAGACGTTTCAATACTTCTAGTAATAGTGACAATGATGATGAACTAAATATTGATGAAAATAATACAAGCCTTAACAATGAATAACGCAAACATTCAACGTGTATATTTTCTCAACTGCGCGCGCCAGTACCTCTCGTCCACAGCGACGCTCGCTCGTCGAGCGGCCCCGTCCGCAAAGGGTTGATTTCTAAATGGTACCTTATTACACGGTTCATTAGGAAACCTCTCCTTGGCATGAGCAAGTACGATGTCAACCAAAAAATATTCTCCGAATTCTACTAAGATATTCGCGATATTAATGACAACCTGGCAAGTAGATGGTCCATTAAACATATGCTGTTTTTTATCCCCTGTATTATGTAAAAGTAATAACTGAGCACAGACTGAAGACATCTCAGTTTTACCGTAGTATGCCCATAACGCAGATTTTTCAGCATATGTCATTGACATTAAATCTACCATAGAATGTTGACAATTTAAGACATCGGATTTCATCAGAGTCTGCAATTAAATATTAAGAACAATTTAATCTTGAATAAGCATTAGAACACACATTGAATACAACTGAATAAAAGAAATACCTCGAACACTTGTGATGGACTCTTAGCTTCTAAAGCAGAATTATGAGCATATGCAATAAGACCTAATCCAGTTGTGTGAGTTATTCCTAACATACTTGCCTTGCCAACTGACCTTTCTATCAATGGTCCCCTAAATTATATTACAAATATGGTGATAAATATATATCAATGCAAGTTAAGAGATTTTAACTTACTTTTGTTTGATAGTTAAATAATACATCCAAGCATGTGCTAATTGTAAACAGACATTGTCTCCAGCTTCTTGAGCCATCATGATAGCTTCTTTCAAAGCAGCTTGTGCTACTTCCCTTAAATGAGAATGAAATGACAACATGAATCGTATACAAAATTCTTAATTTTTAAATTTATATAAAAACGCACTTATGATTAAATTGAGCATGTAAAACTGCTAGATTTAAAGCTGCATATCTGAAAATGCGAGATTTATCTTCAGGTGCAGAACGGTTTTCCAAAGGTGCTAATCTATCAAAGCAGTGATAAAGACTATCTATAGCTCCACAGTATTCATTGACCCTTAAACAGTTTAAATAACTTAAATAATGCTGAAACATATTAAAGATTATGAGAAAGTAAGAAATACAAAAAGATATTTAACTGCATCTTTTAAAATATATATAAATAAAATGTGTTCTCACTACATGATACTCACAGCTTCTGCATAATAAGGACTACAACTTAAAAGTTCTCGTACAAGAACTTGCAGTTCTGCAGGAGACATCGCTTTATGTTCATCTGTTTGTATAGTATGTGCTTGTTGTGCAACAAGTAATTCAGCTTGTCTTCCACCCCAAGTTGTTTTAATTCTTTCAAAATACAGAGAAATTATAACAAAATACATATATATCACATAACAAAATTACAGTTTATGAATATAATGAACACATACTCATTTATATGTGAATTTTCTGTTTTAGAAGCTGCAGATATATCAGAACCATCAAACGTATTAATTCTTTTATCCAAGTATTTTTTCAAAGCTTCATAAAGAGTTACAACTTGATCAAAAGGTAATTTTTCAAAAAAGATTATAACTCTCCTTATATATAGCCCAAGCACAGAATTTTTATTTAGGGCAGGTAAAGAAAGAGAATGATCCAATGTTGGTTTCATAAGACGTCCAACATTATCAAATAAATCTAATAATCCTTCAACCCCTTTTCCTCTTAACATATTCAATTGAACTTCCATATGATGTGCAAACCGATGTAAAATATATTCAGGGGAATGTAATATATTCAGAAGTGTATTAAGATCCATGTCAGGGGACTAACAAAAAAGATAAAAACATTTATTATTTAATATATTCCAATAAAATTAAATATTAACCCTTTATAATAGTATACATATGAATGTGTGTGTGTACGTTTGTGTGTGAATAGAACATTTTACTTTATTTAGTGTACAAACAATATATTAAATAAAATCATTTTATTAATGCTTACTTGAATCAATTTCAAAGCGACTAAACAAAAATCACGTCTTTCCACAATTGCTGGAACAAAATATTAATATTAATAGTAACATTAATAATATAGTATTACAATATTTATAATAAATTTAGATTATGATGTCTATAAAGATAGTAAATTACCTTTTGTTGTTTCATTGCAATATTCTTTAATCAAAATGACAGTTGCTATTTTGTATGGTGTCAAAGTTTCTTTTTGCACTCTTTTTATATTGCCATCGATATTCATTAAATCCGTAGACATTGTGATCAACGGTATCATAGCACGTATTTCAACTAACTATATACTCTCCATTTTAAACGAAAAGAAGATTTTATATGTATGCTAATTTATACATCTGAAATTAGCAATGGTAAATGAATTTATACTTATTGTTATGGTATACCAGGATTAGTTCGATATTATCACGGTGAGGGAGCTTTAACTCTCATATGTTTCATCCAACATCGCATCCTCTCTGTATGTACATACATACTTAATGACAAATCCGTAATCACGTAGTTGACAACCCAATACTTAACATGGTTATGTGTATTTTAATGCATGTTGTGAATTAAAAGTTTAGTGCAAAGATAATATTACAAGTTAGGGAATTAATTATTAATTTTGTAGTTAATATAAATTTTATTTCCAAAATAGGAATCCAATTGCACATCTACTTTAATTGATCTTATTAAAGCTTTTTAAAAATGATAAAAACATTTATATTTCTTGATTTGGAAACAACTGGATTAATTACAAAGAATTATATGCCAAAAATCACAGAAATGTCATTAATTGCAGTATCAAGAACTGCTATATGCGATACTACAAATATTTTACCAAGAGCTTTACAGAAACTTGTTTTACCAATACATCCAAATGTACCTATTTCAAAGGATATTAAAAAATTGACAGGTATCTAACATTTAATTATTTTTAGCAAACAATTTTTATTCTACCTTAAACGAACTGCTATATCTTTCTATTTTTATATAAATAAAATTTACATTATTATAGGCTTATCCAATGAAAATTTAAAAGAATTTCCATGTTTTAATTGTGACATATATAACTTAGTATTAAATTTTATAAATCGATTAGCAGCACCAGCTTGTTTTATAGCTTATAATGGAAATAATTATGACTATCCAATATTTTTATCAGAATTCAAAAATATTGAGAAGGTATATGTAGTATTATATCGTAATATAATTTTACAAATTCATGAATAATCTGACTTATCTCTTTAAAGAATTTCAGTGAAAATGTTTTAAGCATTGACATGATGCATCTAGTCAAAGAGTTTTTCTCTTGTAAAGAAAATCCAAGAAAAGAAACGGATATTGTACAACCTATTGCTAGCAGTTCCAATTGTACTGAAGTTAGTATTTTATTGAATGATGGTTATGATAAGATTTTATCTGATGCATTAGATTCTATTATGGATGCAAATCTTAATTATCATAACAAAAATAACACTCCAACTAAGATTAAAGAAACAACAGTTCATTTGGATAGTGTATTTAACACTCCACAAACTAGTTACTGTAAAAAGATACAAAAAATCAATGAAAAGACACCTGAGAATCAAATTATAAAATTACAACACTGTGATGAAAATTTTCAGGATAGAAGAGGAAGTAATGTAAGAAGACAATTAGATTTTACAAATAGTCGGCCCATTAATTTTAGATTGAGTAGTGTTTATAAACATATTTTTGGTAATAACCCTGAAGATGCACATAGTGCAGAAGGTGATTGTCTTACTATGATTCGCTGTGCTATCAAATTAGGAAATTTCTTCGTAGAATGGACAGATTGCAATGCAGTACCTTTAACTAATTATACCAGCAAATAAAATATATTTGTTGAAAGAGTAACATTTTTTTTTTGATAGTATTGTGTTTATGATTCCACTTAAGGAAATATATTTATTAAATGTGTACATATATTGGATTATATCAAAATCTATTTTATCTTCTGAAAATAGTTCAAAATATAAATTTTAGTAAATATATTACAAATTTTGGAAGTGATAAATATAACTATAAATTTAGAAATTTATTTTACAATGTGTACATACAAATTTATAAAGCGTCTAAAAATTTTTTGTAGTAATAGAATATACATATGTATATAATAACAATAATAATAATACCTTATCATATATTAGAGTTTGTTTATTACAAAAAGGTTTTCTCACACTACAGACACTGATTTCTTTAGTATATATTTTCTTAACTTAGGGATAGTTATTTTAGTTGAATATCTACGTGAAAAAATAAGTCGAATTAGATGGGATAAAATTTTTTCATACGACACTTTGTCTCTGAGAAAATCGAAATTGAAAATTTGTGAAGTATCCTATAATAATGTATAACCTATAGAAGGTTATTATACATGTGAAAATAAGTCAAAAATACAAAATTAACTTTATTCATTTAAGACTTCATGTTTAAGAAAACAAAATGTAAACACGTTTAATTACGAACTGGTCTGATAAACGCGCAGGAAAATTAGAAGATTACACAACTGGTCTGATTTGTTTGGTCTGTATCATTGTTTCTCTCGTCAGTTGGAATTATGTTACCTATAATACATACATAATGACGTAACTAGTACAGTGCGTAATTATTCTAATTATTGTTTTATTATGATAACTAATATATACCTGGGTTATTTATGTTATTCTTTAATGACAATAATTCTTCCGAGGTTACTGTAATGTAAAAAATAATAGCTTTAGATTTGATACAGACTAGCAGGACGTTATCATTGTGAATAATCATTACCTATTTCTCTAAACGATATGTTTATAAATGTTTTAGCAAAGAATTTGCAAAGAAAATGTTTTACATATTCATGTGGGACAAAATCCACTTATTTGTATCAAGTTTTAACGCTAGGAAGTCGCATAAAACAAATACGTATTTTAATATAATTTGACACATTTTAAACAACATAACTTACAAATATATTTGGCCAATATATATTTATCCGTTGCATTCTTTTCAATATCTTTAATGATGTTTTTTAAACGTCGAGCTATATTATACATTTCCATCTGGCTAATTCTGGATAATAAATTGTACTTTTCATTCCAATAATAGTCTAGCTTCCCTTGCTCACAAACATGTTGTAATTCTTTAAGCATCTAAAAACAGCAATAATTTATATGGAAACATGTAATACTTTATAAATTTTATGTGTATATTGATTCAATATGGTTTATATTACTTCAAAAAAGAAATATGCCAAAGATATTGTATTGATGCTCATATTTATTTCTGTCAGTTTGTTTAAACATGTAGTTTCTATGTAATAGCTTGCTATACTCTTCATCTTTTGTGTATTTCTGAATTTCTAAAAAATACAATGATGTCAGAAATATTATAATTATACTAAGATGAAATACTTTGTTAAGCAACCTTCAGTAAACGTATAACTTGTTTTACACGACCATATCTTGCAAGGATTTCATTTTCTTGAAGACTAAAAGCAGTTCTCCAATAAAGGGATGCCAAACTAGAATCACTATCATTACAATCAGTACGTACTGGTACTGGGATTGCAAACCAGTTTTTATTTCGACACTAAAGACAAAAAATATTTATAATACAAGTGCCTTTATATAAATAAAATACTGTGATAAATACACAAACCCTTCCAAGTTCATCAAATTTTGTAATATATCTTGGAATGATATTTATATCAAAAGGTAAGGATGGTGCTAAATCAACACATATGTCCTCAGTTTTATGTGGAATATTCACTATTAATGTGATTGCAGGCCCACTTTCACTTTTTTTAATTTTTACTATATAAGAATTATTTATTAGTAATCTGTATCTATCTTCAACCTTCTGTAGCTTGTTGAAAACTTTGTCTATAATTCCTTTAATCCAGAAACGAAATGCATTTGGATCCACGAAATTATTATATATTAATTTGTTAAGTTGTCTAGAAAACAATAATATTTCACATAAAAGTGTAATAAAATTCTTCATATACTTTATATTTAATAATTATAGTTTATTGTGTAACCTCATTTCTTTATTTGTAAGATTTTTATATGTATATGTATTACGTGCTTGCACATTATCTCCTATAATTATTTTTACAAAACCTGCTCGATCTGACAAATACTAGATAGTAGAAAGAAAATATATATCAATATAAAATTAAACATAATTTAATACCCATCTTAACTAACTAAAAACATGCTTACATTTATGTAATTATAGTTGATAGGGAGCTTTAAAGTAACGTTGAGATCAAATTCATTTGGTGCCTCTATTTTTGTACCTTTATAGAAGCTACCACAGAAAATAATTTGTTGGTACATTTTTTCAAACAGTGAATCCTCTGATTTCATATGATTTATTAGCGTTTCAATTACCTATTTATTAAATCAAATTATAACAATACATATGAATATAAATAGAAAATTTAAGTCATTATTCCGTTTTTAAATATTTGGTATAATCTCATTATGAACAATATATTTAATTATATAGTTTCTTTGCAGGAATACGTACTGGTCGTAACTGTTCGTTAACTTTCTTTACCTCCTCAATTTGTAGCGATATGAACATGTTACATATTTTGATTATTTCATCACTTTGAAGACACTTCTTCATTTCCGCGTTTTGCATCTGTATATACGAATAACAATATTTTAATATTTAATATTTTAATAAATAAAACATTCTCAATCTATGTAAGATTATAATAAAAAAGACCTTAAAGATATATTAATGTGTTTTTCTTTTTGGAAAAAGAAACAATGGAAATATATGACGCGTTTGATTTGTAATATGTAAATCCCTCCTTTTGAATATTACTGCAACAAAATCATAAATTATAAGCTTTGGAAGAAACAGTTACATGGCATAAATCGAAAGAAATCGATATTATACTATTTAAAAAATATAATTATCATACTTGTTAGGTACACACTTAATAATAAAATACATATCACTATTGAAATATGGAGCAAATTCACGAATAGCGTTCTAAACACTTATTGTTACAAACCTAATCGCTTTGAATTCAGAACCGATGAATTCACTGTCGAAGTTACTACTACGGAAGTTTAGCTTTGCTTCGCGATTTATACGCTGTTATCGGCAATGTCAATGAGATTGAAAAGCGATTCGAAGAATAGAGATATACACTCTTTTTTAATAAGACAGATATCAGTTGAAATTCATTTTTTAATAATATCGTAGTCCTTAACTGATTCGAATGTCTAGATCACTTTGCTAATTTCATATAGGATATCATTATATGTAAGATAAAATATATATGTATATGTAATTATGCACGTACTTATACCATATATTTATTTACTTCACACATTATACACTTGTATACTTATTTACGTCAAACTTAATGCAACAGTTACGTAATATGAAAACAATTTCATAGACTTTTCTGTAATATTGGAATTTGCTATTTAATTACTTGCACTAGAAAGACGTGCCACGTACGTCGAGATGTTTTTGTTCCAAAATCGCCAGCAACGTGTATACCACGTCGATGGGCATTTGTCGCAGAAATAAAAATAACGTGATTAATGCTATTATTGCCATGAGCATTTATTCATACCTGTGTGAAACTCTACATATAAGACCCTACCAACGCACTAAGGCGCTGCTTAAAAGATTGCACTCGCAGACGCGGTGACGGGTTACTTTGTCGTCTCAACGTGTATTATATCGTAGCGCAGGGCACACGCAACTGTGAGTTTATTGGTAGCGCAAGTGGTTAATATATAATAAAGTGTAATATATGTAAGACATAAAGTGGGCTAATAATTTCTTATAAATTTATATATCTGTATATACACATACATTTAATCTTTTGCGGACGAGTATCGGCAAATAGCCGCCCAAGTCTTTTTATAGTCGTTCGAATCTGTTCCGGACAGTTATCTTGAAGTGGCAGGCGTACGTCTATTTTTCTAAGCGATAATCTTATGCATATTTACGCATGGATATAGTTAACTAAACAGTAGTATTATGTTTTTGATAAAAGAAAATTATAGATCTTTAGAAATCCTCGCGTGCAACAGTTACGTAATATGAAAACAATTTCATAGACTTTTCTGTAATATTGGAATTTGCTATTTAATTACTTGCACTAGAAAGACGTGCCACGTACGTCGAGATGTTTTTGTTCCAAAATCGCCAGCAACGTGTATACCACGTCGATGGGCATTTGTCGCAGAAATAAAAATAACGTGATTAATGCTATTATTGCCATGAGCATTTATTCATACCTGTGTGAAACTCTACATATAAGACCCTACCAACGCACTAAGGCGCTGCTTAAAAGATTGCACTCGCAGACGCGGTGACGGGTTACTTTGTCGTCTCAACGTGTATTATATCGTAGCGCAGGGCACACGCAACTGTGAGTTTATTGGTAGCGCAAGTGGTTAATATATAATAAAGTGTAATATATGTAAGACATAAAGTGGGCTAATAATTTCTTATAAATTTATATATCTGTATATACACATACATTTAATCTTTTGCGGACGAGTATCGGCAAATAGCCGCCCAAGTCTTTTTATAGTCGTTCGAATCTGTTCCGGACAGTTATCTTGAAGTGGCAGGCGTACGTCTATTTTTCTAAGCGATAATCTTATGCATATTTACGCATGGATATAGTTAACTAAACAGTAGTATTATGTTTTTGATAAAAGAAAATTATAGATCTTTAGAAATCCTCGCGATGCAGGTGTCACGTAAAATAACAAAGTAAAAAAAGGAATTTAAGGTAAAAATAAAAAAGAAAACTTTATTTTTTTTTCTAACATCAATACACTTCACAATCTACTTCCGAACTCTAGGCGTGACTTTCCAAGACTGACTCTTATGATTTTACTTTCGATCGGATCCGATTATTTTCTTTTCTCATCCCTCAACATCCCCACCTTCCATGCATTTGCTAGGCGTCCGCGATCGTTGCCACGTGCTCTTTCTTCTAGAACCTTCGATGGAAGGACTGTTGGGATGTTGATGGTTCATTAGGCACTTTAGCGATATACATTGTCGTCGAGTGCTGCCACATCTTTATCTCTATCGTCAGTTCGTCGGATTTGAAGTATGCCGGTCGTGACACAGGATGATAGTCGAGACAGAACGAATTTCAATCTTTCAATGACATTGCCAGATGAATCAGAAAGCTTTTTATATATTTTTTATAATACCTTATGCACGATGCCTAAAAGTTTCAGAAAGAATATGTTCGATAGTGACAGTAGTGATGACGAACATTATTTTGAACCTGACAAGAAGAAGACGACGACAGTGCTTTAAACAGTAGAAACGAACTCTGTTCAACAATGAATCGGCTCGGACGTTTCGATATTTCTAGTAATAGTGACAGTGATGATGAACTAAATATCGATGAAAATGATACAAGTCTCGACAATGAATAACGTAAACGTTCAACGTGTATATTTTCTCAACTGCGCGCACCAATACCTCTCGTCCACAGCGATGATCGGTCGTCGAGCGACGCCGTCCGCAAAAAATTAACATTAAAGAAATAAAATGATCTTAGGCCTAATTTTTCTACAATATAGGTATTATTAAGAAGATTTATTTAAATTGTTCTTATTCTTAGCACAATTGTGAAGGATTCTTAATGAAAATAAAAAGAGTATTTATATTTATTTGTTCGATCATTTTGCGCGCTTATTCTTCCGACATAAAAAGTTAGAAATTATTATACAAAATGTATTCGAATACGACTTATTTGGATTCAGTCAGATCCAAAATCTTCATGCAAATTAACCGTAGTCTTCGCATCACGTGATTTGTTATATCACTACTTTTTTTTAATATATCATTCAATTCGTCACATATTTCGCTTACGTGTTCATCGAGCTGACTTAAAGGCGAGTTTTTATCGAAAGTTTCGATAGACTCGATTTCCAATTTAGCGAGTTTTTGGTCCCTTTGACAATCCTCGTAATTGTTACAAACATGGTAAACATTTTGTGAATGTTTCGCTATATGTTGCAAATAATCTCGAATATCTGAAAAATCCTGAAGCTCGTAATAAATCGTGCCGGAAAGATAAGCAGGCAAAGAATCTCTCAACGACGACTTTCTTGTAACCGCGGCTGCCATTTTAGTCACAAGATCCTCGTTCGGACACATGTGAGCTACATAATCAAACGTTTCGAAAGCTTCCTGTCGTACCCATGGATTTTCATCTTCCAAAAGTCGACAATTGAGCTCCGTTAATGCATTAACCGTTTTAATCCCACAGTTATCAAAGGAATCGATACTGTTTCTCAAGTAATACGACGCTACTGCCTTTACGTGTGGCGGGAGACATAACAGCGACGTTAAAACTGCTTCTAGGATCTGAAATCATTAAACATGATTATTTATGGTATCGGTTAACCATAACCATAACCATAACCATTAAAGCATAGATCGTGACTCGTTATGCGGTTCGCGTGATTTATCGATAAAATAAACTTTCGTAAGGTAATTTCATCGATGGTACGAATTACTATCGATTACGTAATAAATGAAACATGTGAAAGTATTAAATCAGTCTGGATTACGCGAATCGCAGAAAAATATAACCTTAAGTTTATATAAAACGTTACGCATAGAGTAATTTTCGAAATTTGTCTACATTGACGATTGTACAAAAAAATGTTGGAAGAGGATTTAATCTATAGCACTTGTTTTAGAGAGTGACGGAAGCCAGGCAACCGTTCCAAGCGTTCGAAGTTTCACGTTTTCTTACAAGATAAATATTCCATTGAACATTTTTCATTGAAAAATAAATAAAAAATAACGAGTTCATAATAGTTGATTGGAACCATAATTGCAACTAAATTAAAGATATAATTTTCTGTAGTATGTTTTATAACGTGGTATGTATTTCCTGTTTTGTTTCTCATTACCGTCGACCACTTATTTTTTGTTTATAAATAGGAGTCAAACGAGTTTAATAGCTCGGTGCACAACTACATAGGCGGAATTCACTGTAACGGTACTGGTCGGTGCAGGCATCGGTCCTGTTCTGTCCTTGTCTAATAACGCATGCATATCCGTACTTCACACTATATTGTACGTGTATATTGCATTGCTAGAAACGGATAGATAAAACATCCTGCATGTCACAGCCATCGAAACAATAACCAGATAGTAACAAGATAGTCGTGTCTGATAGATAGCCGACGATAGCCTCTTCAGAGGGACCAAACCCTAGTATAACAACCCTCCCAAATCAGCACTCGACACATTTTTGTTATAACACTTTGATCCGTTACTCTGTTGGATTCGTACAATAAATTTTACTATCATATCTAAAGTCCGAATTTTTACTTTATTTGTGAAACCTTGAGCGAAGTTATAACGCGAGAAGATCACCGGTTCTTATTGGACCGGACATCATGTCATGTCAAGACACGAGCTGATCGTTTAAAAGATTAATTATACAGCAAAGGAAAACGAGGAAAAATGTACATACCGAGAAGAAAGTATCGTCTTGAATTTTTTCAGGCTGCGTAGCACTCAACAGTTTCGACGTAAATTCCGATAACACATCCAGCTGTTTGCCTTCGAAAATTTCGATCGTGCTTGCGATCGAGTTCCATATTTGGGATAGAATATCGATGGTATTTTTCTCCTCCGTGTAGTTGAGTTTTCCGATAAGCGACATCAGCATCGTCTTTTAACGAGGAAAATGATTATTAAAATTTTCGTAAGATCGAGATCGAAAATTTATCAAATCCTTTTATTATGTAATTTATCCTTGAACATAAGATAACATACGATACGATTCCAATTCTGTACAGTAGGCTGTCGCTGTAATTCGACGAACGAGCGCGGTATCTCGTTTAATACGCATGCCAATCGATTCTGCAAGAACGCTTTTGTTTTCGGGGGCAAAAATCGCGCGACGGCCAGCCAGCATGGATTTTCCAGATCATCGAGCTCCGTTATAACGGTGTGCTTCATTTCCTCCGGGAGCAAATTGTACAATCTTCCAATCAAGTTCTCCAACATAACGATCTCGAGGCTGTTGCTACGTCTCATTAAAACAGCATAAACGTTCAAGAGGTATTTCACGTGACCAGCGCAAAGTTCTAAAGAACCAATACTGAAAAACAGAATGTTACGTTGAAGAAGCAGACAATGTTCAGAAAATTCTTTCGCGTTTACATCGGAGAAACAATCGGTTTTAACTTGATGAAATACAATTCCTTGTCGTCGAATTACGACCACCCAAAGTTTCTGATATTTCTTACTTTTTTAACAAAATCGAAAGATTCGCTAAAATGTTATACGTATTCGTTTTAGTAACTTTTGTTTCATATTTACGTCTCTTCTCTTTATATTATAGCTCGTACTGTTTGGTCCATGTCCTCGTTATTTTTCCACGTGTCTCGAGTTCTTTTTTTTCCAAATTCAGTAACGTAATGATCAGAGACGAGTAAACGAGTGATTTCAACAGATTCTAAATATCTTGCATGGCACGTAAGTCGAACGAATTTGCTTATTGTTCGCTATGACGATACGAGTGTATCGTTCGATGAACGAATTTAGGTTTATATTGCGTAATAATCTTGATAATCGAAGACAATTTACTATTTATAACATAGTCTTGCGTAGTTAAAAGCGCGAAATTTCCGTACGTGATCTTAATTCAACGACCAGGCATTGTAATATCATAGAATTTTCTAAATGATCGCATTTTGATTACAAGATAAACTATATCGAGAACGTATTTGGCGTAGTGTTTTACTTCAGAAGCGAAGAACGAACGACCGAAACTTAACATCAACTGTGAAAATTTATTGATCGATTTACAAACCGGCCGACGAAGCACCAAATATCCGAACTAAGCAAAGAACTCCAAAGTTGATTGCTTAATAAATGCTTCAATAAAATCAACTCTACAGCGTGAAATCCGTCTGCAGGAATTTGACTGATCAGTCCACAAATTGGTACTATCGTGGCTTCGTATATCGAGGCGGATCTCGATCTTTCTCCAATATCGTGTACGCCTGGTAATTTCACTTGACCCACGCAAATCTCCTCCTGCACTGTTTAACGGTACAAATATAAAATAATTCTCGAGATTATTAGAAAATATCAGAATTCTTTATGTGTAACGTCAGCTTTCTCTTATTCTGTAAAACCTGTTTCTCGAGGTTTATGTTAAAAGATCAAGTAAGTTAAGAAGATTTGTTTCGTTGAAAATTCTATAATGAAAAATTTGCTCGAATTTGATAGATACCAAAGGTAGGATTCGAAAATTGTAGTACTTACAGTGATTAATGTTGCTTAACGCGACATCGATGATCGATTCGGCGCCTAATGTCCATTTGCAATGTTGCTCGTATGGCATGTAAATTAATTTTTTCATGATATTAACCGTTAACAGATGGTAGCCTAAATTATCGATATTTGCCTGATTTCTATAATCGAAGAACGCCTAAAATATTTCAGGGATATCGAATAAGATACGAACTTTCTATGTTAAACTGATCTGTTAGTTAGATTTTGTCGACGAACCTGTTTAAAATCGGATGATTTGAAAACGGTATTCAAAAATGGTTCCGATCCCTTCGAGATTTGAATGTTTATTAGATCCATCAGTTTGCTATCAATTTGCGAGTTTTGTAAACACAGCGGAGAGCACCTGATCGCAAAGAACGATGTAAAAACCTTTAATCGGTCGTAAGATACAAAAATCGAGAAATCAAATAAAAAAAAAAAAAGAAATATACCTGTGCATCTTTAGCAAAAGTTCGATCACACACGGAAGAATTTCGTTATTTATGTGTGAACAATAAACTGCAAACAGTCTGTCCAAAATTTTTAACGAGTGTCCAATAACTTTTATCGTTCGTTCTTGTACCCGATCACTTGAGTCCTACGTAAAGATGATTATAGAAAAAACTTGGAAAAAGCAAATATTTTTATGGATCTATCAAGTGCAGCATTTTGTGTTTAGTTTAGATAGTCGTTTCGTTTTTAGCTTGTTCCTCAAGATATTTGTTATCTGAGACAATGGAAAAAGGCGTTATTGCGAATTATCTAAGATTGTTAAAATACACAATACACAACCACAAACAGAACGTCTGCTGACGAAAAAAAAAAAAAATATTTTAAAACTGATCAAGTAGCAAATAATTCTATACAAACAAATATCAGATACGATCTATATTGTTATGAATCAACAAATAGATAGATGTGATTAATATGACGCATCGTGTATCTATGTAAATTTTCAAACATAATCTAATCTCTGTTTTTCTCTCTTTTTAAATTCTTCGGGTGTTAAAAAACGAAGTTTTACAAATTTCGATACACGTTCAGATCGAACTTTGGTTCATTTCAACGATTTTATTATATCAACTTTGTAATAATACAAAAGTAAAATAATTTTTTCGTGTAACCGTAGAATTTTTGTCTCGAAACTTACCTGGCAAAATAGCAGCATCGAGGATACATCTTTTGTGAATTGGGTAAGCTGCAAAGTGACGTTCATAGCGTTTATTCGTTTTACGTGATGTTGATTCGTAATCGCCAATTTACCGAATATTTTCGACGTTTCCACGAACGTTTTCAAATCCAGTTCGCGCGAGATGGTAACGAACGATCCGATCGAATCGATTACTGTTTTCAATAGGAGACGCATGAATAAAAAACATCGAGTTTAATTAGAACAATGAATTGGCAAGAATTAATAATACTGAGATATGTACACATACGTGAAACGATTAAACCGTTAAGGACCAAACGTTGAAATAACATATAACAAATACGTAAATACAACATTATTGCACAATAACAGATCTGAATATCTACAAATCTAATGATCTGAAAATCGAAAAGTATGAGAGCCTGGTAACTTGAAAACTTGAAAATGGAATACTTCGTTAAAGCAACGTTGGCCATTAATGGATTAAACAGAGCAACGGTATCTTCTTTCCTCTACTTGACGTACTCGATAAAGATAAAGATGGTTCGGGTTAAAGAATCGTTAAGACGTAATAGGATCGCTCACCTTTTACCAATAGTTCCGTTTCCGATTCCGTATCCGTGTCGAAGACTATTACGTTCTCTAAAGTGGCCAGGAATAGAGTCAAGATCGTTTTCGCCTTGCGAAATAGATTCGTTAATTCCTCCGATACGTCCTCGAATAAAGTACCGTACAATTTTTTACTGTAAAGGTCGACAAGTGAAAAAAAAACATTCGTATTTACCAGCTGTTCTTATTTAGTCAAGAATAATATTATTAAACAATATTTGAACTAGGGATATTTATGCAAATTCATATTTTCACGAATGCAATTAAAGAAATGGAACGTAAGCAGAGATTTCTTTCATCTCAGATATTATTCGCTCCAAAAAATATTAATAACAAGCGTTCTACTTTGAATTTTCGCTTTTAAATTTTCTATAAAAGCATAAAAATCCACGATTCAACAACGTTGTTTAAGTTCCAGCTGGGGATAGCCATCCACGTGTTATTTAGCGATTAAGCCAGACAAATTTACCGAATGTTCATCTGGGGAAATTGTAAAGTACAAATTAAATAATAATAAAAAAAAAACTTAAGTTATTGATATAACAGCGTTAGAAAAAAGGGAAGATAATCGAGAATGTCTCTGACCATTCGCCTCACCTTGCTCTACAATGTTCGAATATTAGTTTAATCGTAAGAGGCACGTTCTCCACTATGCATTTAAAAGCAGTGGCAGATGTTTTACAGAGTTTCGAAACGCGTTCCATAGAATTCTCCCACACACTTAGTAATTCGCGACACACGACCAATTGTCGTTTCGTATCTTCCACCGTGTGTCCATCCGCGTTCGTATTCATCGTTTCGCCAATTTTCTTCAGAGCCTTCAAACAAGAAGAAACTTCAAAAGATACAACGATTGGTCGAACCAAATATCCATCGAGGTTCGCATCTCTTGAGATTCTTAATTAATTCTGCCGCGTTCTTTGAACTATTCTTGCTAGAATTTATGCTAGAATTTATCTTTAAAACGTTTCTTAAATCTGGAGAGATTGCAAGATAATCATCATCGATATGCATAATTTTGAATTTCGATTTTATGCTAAGAACTTTCTTCGATCGTTGAAACGTTCTTATCGAGATACGTAAATTCGAAGACCGCAACAGAATTAATATCAATTTTTAAGGTAATATTATTCACTTTACCTCGGATAAAAGATAATAGGCGAAAGGAAGTATTTCGTTGAAAATTTTCTCAGCGAGCAAATTATCCGAACACGAGGACAAAGATCGTTGTAGAGCCTGTTGCAACAACTCCGTGTCGTATCTCTCGGTCAGGTTCTCCAAAGCGTCGTGATCATAGTTACGTCAAGGATAATTAGTAGAAGTAAATGGTTTTGCATCATCAGAATGTGAATAGTAACGTGAGAATATAACATTGTTCGAAAGGATATTTTTAAATTGGACGAATAATCCTCGGTACTTTTGTCATTATCCGAAAACGAATCCTCCAATAAAGCGGTAAAAGAAGTCTCGCTTGCCATTTTCTTGAAATATACAAATTCTATGTTCGATTCTGATGTTGAGCTTCGATACCTGCGTGAAAAATCATGTTTCTAATATATAGGAGCATTGCGCGCGTTATAATACATATAATTTCGTTATTAACAATCGACTGAGAATAAACAATAACGATTATTCGTGGAATAATTCGAATGATCGAAATCATTCTACTTTTTATACGAAAGTAATCATCTCCTTTTTTTTCTGATTAATTGCCGCTGTTAAAGCAGCCGTTTCCCTTTCATTTGCGTTCGACTTGCCAAAAGATTAAAAGATAACATTTCTCTGGATATAGGTAAATCGTGTCTTGACTGTACAAGGCGATGGTTGGCGAAATAATTTATAATTCCGTTTCTCGTGTCGCGGGCAAATCAAGCGTCCATCAATCGCGGTGAGACGGCTCGATCGTGAAACGGGGCCTCGAAAATTTCTTGGCAAGCCTCGCAAGTCGAACTTTCCAGTTCCGATCGAGCACGATAGGCAGTCGTTTCTCCAGAAACCGGAACAGGGATGGACAAACTCGATTCGTAGAATCGTAAAAACCGAATCTTTTTACCAAAAAGAACCGCATGGTCGAAACATTTTTCGCATAGGACGATATTTAACACGGTTCTGGTAAAATTACGTTCGTAATTTAAATTACGTAATTAATCGTAAAGCAAGCGAAATTATATTCGTCAAGGCCGATTATTGGGCTTCCTTATGATAACGAGACATCGAGGGAGAAAGTAAACTAAGCCAAACGCATTCGTTTCGAATGCGCGAGTTCGTGGCATTAATTTATTTCGATAAGCTGTATTAATCGTGCAACGATGGGGAAGTACGTTATTTGCAAATCAGATCAAGATATCACGATGTAACCAATCGTTGCATCGAATATTTCTTATATCTTTCTTCGTTATATCGAATATGCTTCTAGTCTGAATGTCTCAAACGTATCGTAATATCGATAACTGGACGTAACAATGTTGGCATTTAACGAATAGAAAGCTCGGTATCTATAATCAGAAACTAAACTAAACTACAATAAGTAGATTATCATGATATACACTGTGAATTTTCAAATGTTTTATACTGAAAATCTTTCACCATATGATCGACGGTCGTCTGTTCCGTGGTAATCGTTATATTTGTTCATTGCTCTTATTAAAAGTAAATTCACTTCTTAAAATTACGACGTCTTTCTATATTTCTTATTTCGTAAGTTCTCTTTCGTCCGCCGATATCGACAGCTGGATCTATAGGAACAATAACCACGTGAAAATTAAGCAACCGTCGTACAATTATAATTAAAATAACAATTGCGGTAACTTTATTAAGTATTTATTAGGACGAAGAATCGGAAATGAAAATAAAGACAGATTCCAATGGACGAGTTATCCATCGGTGTTGCCCATCCCTGGCCTCAACACGTCGAAGTCGCCGATAAGAGGGGCAATTAGGGTTGCAAGCGCTAATGGCTGGGCTCTCTTAATTTTCGGCGATTCGACGTGGCCGAGTTCCACGGCGAAAGTTTCTCGTTTAAATCCTCACCCGGTGAAGGTTCCGGTGAAGTGTGATTTCGCGATGGGGCGAGGAAGAAAGAGACGAACGAGAGGAAAACGAATTCGAATGATCGCCGATGCCATGGTAACATCGGACAACAAGCTGTCAGATGATAGGTAAAGTTTTGATCAATAATACCTGGTGACTGCTGGTTGAAATTCAAGTTCGCTGCTCGTATGACACGTTCCAGTAAGATCCAGCCTTTCGATGGAACTCGAACACGATCGCAATAACTTCGACGAACAATATCGAGTCGCTGGCTCTCCTTCGGTAGAGGGAGACGCGTGCTCGATTTGATGCAACAGTCCGAAGAAACCTAGCATATAAAATTCACATATTTCAGCAGAAAGAACTTTAGCGTGAAAGCATTTCTAGAACGTAGCGACGTTTCACGCGCGCCTTAATTCACTCGCATTATCAGAAAATAATTTCAAAGGCATTTCGGTGTAAGAGATAAAAGTGATGCCTCGTACGATCACAGTTATTCTTCTCTGTGAAATTCATGGTATTACAATTAGAATTCGTGGTATCGTTTTAAGAGACAATTTTATAAAAATCTTTTACATTTATTGACACACTTGATGTTTCATATGGTCGATTATAAAGAGAACACGCAAAGTAGCGGTAAATTAACGATATATTAAAAGATGGTTCAAATAGAAAAAGACGAATGGTTCCAAAGGGGGACGTTATTTGGTGGAAATTAATTTTTCTGCAGATAGCCGAGCAGAGATCGTACGAAAATGACGCGAGTTTTTTTTTTTAATGGAATTGTATATTTTTAAATGCAGTAATCGATTCGTCTTGACATTGCCTACAAAACGGTACCTGTTTATGTCGAAAAATCGTTAGTTTGGAAGATATTTTGATCTGAATATGGCAAAATGATATTAAATAGTAAGTACACTTGCCTGTAACTTTCCTGAAATTACAGTGGGTATATTTCTTACAATGCTATAGTAGATAGACGAGAGAACGTCAATCGATATCGTTACAAATGTTATTTTGTTAAATGTTCAGAGGCACCTTGATTGTCAATGTGTAAGTCACTTTGCGATACTTAATGAGATTAAAACATCTTCTAAACCAATGATTTTTCGGCATAAATAGGTCAACACTTTTTTGTAGGAAATACCAAGACGGATCGATTATCGTATTTAAAACCGTATGACTCCGTTTAGAGAAACGTACGTCAATTTCGTATGACCCGACCATCTACAGAGAAGCTAATTACAGCAAATTACGTCCTCCTCAAAGCCATTCGTTTCTTGTATGAAGCATTTTTTTTTTCACGGTGAATAATTTACTAGTAATTTGCACGTTCTGTTTATAATCGGGCATCCTGTATATTTATTTCTGGAACGAATTTCACGCGTTAAATGCTATTTAAATGCAAGAAAACTGACAGGGTTTCGTGTAGGAAAATTTTCCCGATTCTTAACCCTTTGACGGTGAAAGGTGAAAGAAAAGAGCGAGGCTACGGTGCTGTGAATTTCACGTCATCAGTGTCATTATACGTGATATCAATCCTCGGTTAACGAAACAACGTGAATCATTCGCACCCCCTAAAGGAGATTTCGCTCGCGAATTTTCTCGAAACGAACTTCTACTTTTTCTGAAAAATTCCTTCGAAACGTTTGTTACAAAGATCGATCGTATAACACAATAGGAATTTCAGCAAGTGTTCCAGAATTTTGTAGACCTTTCGAAAGTTTACAGCAGGTGAAGAACCTGGCGTGGAGAAGCCAGCTTCTCTACGATCATTCATTTCCCAGAAATAATTGAAAGGAGTGCAAAAAGCTTTGACGATAAGGAAATAATTATTTTCTAAATTGTCTATCGTCAATTAATCGTTTCGTTACACACCATCGAATGGTTAACGGAGAACGTGAAATACAAGTTTCTGAACGCTTATCTTGGAAGAAACGTTGTTCGATATTTTGAGATTCGAATTATGGGAAAGGTGCTTCGTAAAGAATATTGGAAGAGATATAAATCTAGTCAGAGTGTTTTTATTGTTAAATTGTGTATTATTCTAAAAATAGTCTATGATTAGTTAAAAAAAAATTCCTGTAATTTAATTAGAAAGGGCCGTATATAGTTAAACATTTGTTCATGTTCGTGTTATGAAAAATCAGCAAATGTTTACGCGATGTATATGTAATATCCGGATAATTCTTATTACTCGTATTGCACACAATATTGAACATACTATTTATATTATTAAGCGATTGAGACAACAGAATTTAAGCACGTACAGTCACACGCTTACAATTAGTTTAAATTTTAACTACAAGTCGTAAAGTCGCGAGTCGTAAACGATATCGAACAATCGTATTTGAATCAAGTTTGAATTATATTGTTTGATTCTAAGATATTAAATCGTATTTCTCATCGACAAAAATTTAATTAAAACGACCACCTATTTGGTATTTTTTTATTTACGAAATACGTTGATATATTTATTATCGTTACCATTATTCACGAGATAAGCGTTTCAGTGGGGAAAAAGATACGATGTAAAGAAAGGATATACACCGTGCTTTCCACCTTTCAAATAAAGTTATCCAATTATTTTTAATTCTACGAAAAAGAACAAAGACGCCAAGACGGCAAAAAGATTTAGCTTTTCTCAAGTATTTCAAAATGAATGGGTAGGACGTTTTGTCCAACGACCAGCCAAGGCAGCAAAGATATCAATTAAACGCAAACGTCTCTAAACCTTCTCCCCCTCCCCCCTCCCCAAAAGAACTTCTAAACTCTCAAAATCGAGTATTTCTCTGAAACAAAATAAAACAAATAATTGAAAAAGCGCAACCATCGCTATCGTCGGGGTGTTGAGCGTCTCGCGTTACGCCACTGATCGAGAATCAGAGGGCAATGCATGTCGAGTTAGCGTACGCGAGCGAGTTCGACCACCCTAACATTCCTCCCTAACACAGTGTGGCTGTGATTAAAGTATAGGTGTGGTAGTGTCGGGCGTCGTTCGAATTAAACGGAGCAATACATCGTTCAACCACCCCTTCACTGGCAAGCGGGTGGAAACGACAACGTGTTAGTGACTCTGTGGGTGTACACGGGCACCGATTGCTGGTGGTAGGCAGGTAACACGAAGGTAAATCGGTGAAATGGCAGTGGTGGTGAACGATCGTGTCAGAGGGCAATGGATGAAGTTAGTCAGTCGGCGTTTGCTCGCGCCGCCACCACGATGGAAGTTCATCCATCGCGCTTACGTTTCGATCTTTCGTATGAATCGTAAATGGGTCGAGTGAGTAGCGATTTACTAACCGATTTATTATGCTTCGAATGTATGTTTTAAAATTATCGATAACGTTGATAATATTTAATACGATTGCTTCGTCGATTATTTTTTTTTTTTTTTGTTTGGTATATGGTAGAAAGCTAATGTAAAGTTATCGTAGAATGTAGCCTCAGAGGCGATTGCCAGCATCGGAATGTCAGGATCCGAAAAACCGATCAGACCGATCAGACAATTGTCCTTGCAACCACCTGCGCTTCGTCGTCAACAAATTAGACGACAAAGATCCGCGGAGGATGACAAATCGTTGGAAATCTGCGCGAGTCCCTTCGCACGTGGCAAGCGTGGAACGAGCGGTAAATCCGGCTCTGAGAGACCTAAGGTATCCTCGATTTCTTTGACGATATTTCTTGTTATTTGTTATTTTTATATTTGACATATTGTATTTATTATATTTTTTATACTGTACGACTGGTACCGTTAAATTGTAGATGAGCACCAGACCGTGAACTTTTATACAAATGTATATTTTTATGGATACGACTAAAGAAATATGAATACTCACATAGAAATTTGTTTTACCTATTAGAGATTACAAAGTATATTTTATTTTGGATGTAAAAGAATACTTTGGATATAAGAGAATATTTGGATACTAAAGAAATATAAATACTCACATAGAAATTTGTTCTACCTATTAGAAATTACAAAGTGTACTTTACTTTGGATGTAAAAGAATACTTTGGATGTAAAAGAATACTTTGGATATAAGAGAATATTTGGATACTAAAGAAATATGAATACTCACATAGAAATTTGTTTTACCTATTAGATATTATAAAGTATACTTTACTTGGAATATCTCTATTCTATATATTACACGCATGTATAATTTGCATAATTTGGATATTTTTATACGTTCTACAAAATTGAGCATTCTTTCGTCTTTACATTTTCCATAGGTACATAAATACCCGTAGTCCCAGTGACTATATATTGAATTAGATTTGAGTGGAATTATTTAACTTTGGAGTAGACGCGATATTAATTTATACTTGAAATTCTAACAAACATCATTGATGGTCTATACGTCTTTTTAAAATACAAAGTTATAAATTAAAACGATGCATTTCGATATCAGGTAACTCGGTTCAAACCGTCGTAGATCGTCTACGACCCAATGATACTAACTGAGAATTAATTCTATGATAGTGGCCAACGAATTTCAGGTTCGCGTTGCCTGGAAGGAAAACCGCCAAAAGAATGACGAAGAACTTGGGCAAGTTGAAGTGGTGGCTCGTCAAATTCCTGGACGATCCAAATCGACCACCCGAAGGTCAAGGGATTTCGCGGGAATGGACAAACCAACGATCCTTTATTCGAGATTAGAACTGGCCGAGAGGCTGAGGCTTGCTTGGAAAAATCGCGAGAAGAATAAAGCCAACATTAACATTTTTCTTGCCCGTGAAACCGTGGATGAAAGATGCGAGTCTGAAATGTCCAATCATACTACGACCACTGTCCCATCATCTCCTATACGAGAAAACAACGAGGCTAAAATCGAAATACCTCTTAACGACTTTAAAATGCTGGACGAGAAAGAAGAAAAAGAAGAGGAGGAGCTTATTACTAACAAATTAACGAGACTTTTATCAGAGAACAACGATACGATTACTTCGAGGAAAAGCGACAGAGAATTGTCGCTTCTGTCTCTACAATCCTCCACTGAAACGAAGCAGGTTCTACAAGAAAGCAAGGTCTCTGTAAATATGAAGAATATGGAACGAGAAGAGGCTGACGTAGAAAAGGAACAATTGAACGAGGTATAATTGGATATTATCGTAGATCTAGGTTTTGTAAAGCTGATAGACAAAAAATATTATTCATATACTAATACGATACAAGTGGATTATCTTGTTTCAAGCAATTATTCCCTCGTTTTTTCCTCTATTGGGATTATTTTCTATTTCAAGGAAACATCGAGGGACTCGAACATCGACGATACCAATACGAAGAGAAAGTCGTCGGCAAGCATCGACTGTTCGCATTATCGCGTTGCAAACACAACGTTGCCGTCGATCAAAATCGAAAACTCGACCCTGGCAGTTACGAAAGCGTCGAAGGAGGATTTTTCATCGGCGAAACAAAAGCGTGCGAGCTTTCATAGCGGTACCAACCGAGCCTTCCTCGACCCAATTAGATCGTCAACGGAGTTCAGATGGAATTCTATGTCGGATAAAAACGTACCGCACAAATCGTCGATCGATGATCGTACCGCTACGGAGAAAGATACTTCAGCCGGAGCGATCGTACAGAGCAAAGAGAACGTTACGAACAAAAGGGGCGCGTCGGAGGAAAACCTGATCGAGTTTCGCTGTGATTTGGTCAGCGAGAAGAACGTAACGCCAAAGATGGCTGCAAATAGTAAATTGATTCGCGTAAGTGAGAAAAACGCGCGGGTTAAAGCGACGATCGAAAGCAGAGACGCTTCGGTAGACGATAAGACAACGACGATCCAGAGAACAAACGAGGCGGATCGATTTAATTTGATTAAAAAGACTCCATCGACTAGCACCGTAACCGAGGACAAAGATAGTTCTACGATCGACAAAGCTACGTTTTCGAGAAATTCGTCGGAAGTGAGATGCAGCTCGGTGAACGAGAGGAATCCACCTTCGAGGAAGACGATGGAAAGCCAGAAGATCGATGGAAAATCGAGAAGGACCTGTTCTGCGCCTCCGCAGCGACGTTTCGAATCAACTTCGGGGAATAATCGCGTTCAGATTAACATAGTGATTGATTCATCGGGGAAGAACAAGAATCAGGGCGAGCAAGATATGGAGTGTAAAGATAACGCGATAGAAAAAATAGATACGACTTTGACGAAGGTATATTTTATTTTTTTTCTCAAATACACAGCTTTTCCTAAGCGACACGCCGTAGTACTTTCCACGAAACGTGACATCATTGCGATAAAAGAGAGGCAAAACGGAGGTGATAAAAATTAGAAAAACATTTTATCTTCATCATGAAAACCATTCCATTTGCGAAATTTTTGTAATATTTCTTCTATCTTACGTGGATGCGATCGTTCAAGATACTTGATTTATTATTACGTATCTTGTTCGATGCTTTCGAAGTTTCTTTCTTATACGATTAATACGAATTAACACGTTAGATATCGTCAAATCGAGCGGTGAGATCGGCGCCATCGAAGAGGCGATCCAGAAGCGCGAAAAGACGATTCTGGGGAGGAAGCAACTCGAAACACGAAGAAGATGGAAAATCACGGAATAAATCGGCTGGCCGTGTAAGGAATTCGATCGACTCCAGAACGATGGACATCGTTACAATGGTATCCCTTGTTAGCTCTGCAGACAGCGATAGCGATACCGAGAATTCACCCAGAGACGATAAGTTGATCGACGAGCTACGCAGCAAACTACCTACTACATCAATTATTAAAACTTCGATTAATTCGGCTTTGAGTAGCACAGGCAAATCTATCAAATCAGGTAGATAGCGAACATTGAACGCTTTTTAGTTAAAAAAAAAAAAAATGGTTTGCTCGAAATTAATTGATCACTCGAGGCTACTTGTCTCGCTGTGGACAATTTCATAAGTTGAGTTTATCTTCTAGTTCAGAATTTTATTTCTTCGGTAGCTGCTTTGCCGTAGATCACTCGTAGACTTTGTAGAAATGCACACACGCATATATAAGAAGCCTGTCTTATCTTTTAACGGATCTTTTTAATTTTAAAATCATCTCTTCCAGTTTTTAGATAGTTAGAGCTTTGCATTTTAATTTACTGACAAATGTTATCTTCCTTATGGTAGAAGATTTACGACAAGAGTGTATCAAGATATCTTTGATCCTAATATCATTGGCAACAAAATATCTTTGATTTCAATGTCATCGCTGGATTATAAATTTTTAATGGATTTATGGGAAATTTAAAATTGTAAAAATACATAGAATGCGCGTAGCACGCGAAAATATACAAAGTAGAGGTTTACAATGCTTGGTATACGAAAGAAATTTCTGCTTGTAAATTCGCAATCCAGTTATCAGTAACGATATCAAAAGATCTTGTAGAAAGACGAAAAAGACATTTTCTTTTGTCACTTCGTTATTCCGCAACATTTTATACATAACTCGTATATCATATATATATATATATAGAATATAATATAGAACGATATATATATATATGTAATATCGTGATATACTGTGTGTTTACAAAGGAATGGATGATAGAAAAGGCGATTGGTGTTCAACCTGAGCTATTCTCGCCAAACGTACAGAAAGCAGCACAACTAGATGATTAGAATACGACTCGACTCTCCCAAAACGCAATCAACATTCTCTCGGCAACGCCACTCGCAAGCTCTGCTTCTCCGCTCGCACGCTGC